GATTTTATTTATTTATTAGAGAGAGAGAGAGAGAGAGAAACAGCACGAGAGGGGAGAGGGTCAGAGGGAGAAGCAGGCTCCCCGCTGAGCCGGGAGCCCGACGCGGGACTCGATCCCAGGACTCCGGGATCATGACCTGAGCCGAAGGCAGTCGCTTAACCAACTGAGCCACCCAGGCGCCCTGTAAATAAAATCTTTAAAAAAAAAAAAGAAGTATTTGTTGAGTGCTTACTGTGTGCCAGGTACTGGGGGTACAGAATCAACAGAGACAGTCTTTACCCTCAAAGTCTTCAAGGTCCAAAGGGAGAATCAGACTCACAAATAGATGATGATAAGATGACAGGTGGGAAGAAAAGATGGACCCATGTTTGACACAGAGATTGACCAGGTGTGCATTGGGCGGGCGGGGGGACGGGGAGTCCAAGGCGAGCTCTCAGCTTTTTGGTCTGTACAAAATGGATGAATGGTGGTGGTGTTGGCTGAGACATGAGGCAAGGAAAATGCAAGGAGGAGCTAGGTGTTGGGGGAAGATGGTGCGTTCTGTTTGCGGGTATGAGGAGTTCGAGGTGCTGTTGGGACATCCCAGGAAGGATCTCCAACAAATCTTCCACTTAAGGGAGAGAGAGGTCTGAACTGGAATTAGAGCTGTGAGAATCATCGGCATCTAGGAGGTGGAGTCTTGAATGTATACAGAGTGTTCTCTGAGGCAAGTAACAGAGTAATTACACTATGATGACATTTGTTATCGCAGATCTTAGATAGTCAGGAGCGGGGCAGGTCCAGGGATGGGCAAATCGGTAGCACAGTGACTGCATCAATGTCACCTGTGCTTTCTACAGGCTCTCCTTGCTGTTTTCAGGGAGTGGATGTCTCCCTGAGACTTGTCCCCCCTCGGCTGCAAGCTAGCTGCCCCACCCTCTCACAGCCCCATTCAAAGTCAAGAATGAAGCTTTCCTTTTGCACTGCACTTTTAATGAGGGAGGAAATCCTTTATCTTTAGCCCACTTCCATGAACCTTGGGTCTCCTAGGCCATACCTATATCACTTAGGCAAAAGGCAATGGGATTACCATGATAGGTTTAAGCTTTAGTCTCATGTGGCCTTGGAGAGGTCCACCTGCCTGGAGAACGGTGCTGTCTGATATCTGAACAAAACCGAGATGTGAGCAAGGAAGAAGGGATGGCCTTTTTTCAACCCTCCGCCTCTTCCAATCCCTAGCTGGCCTGGCAGTGTTGACCTGAAGTTCAGTAGAGATAGAAGGATCTTGGGGGACACCGGGGTGGTTCAGTGGGTTGAGCTTCAGACTCTTGACTTCGGCTTGATCCTGATCTCAGGGTTGTGGGATGGAGCCCCACATCTCGCTGGGCTCTGCACTCCGCAGGGAGTCTGTTCCTCTCTTTCTCCTTCTCCTTCTGCCCCTCCCCCTGCTCACAGGCTCTCTCTCTCTCTAAAAATAAATAAATAAATCTTTATTTAAAAAAAAAAAAAGGAGCTTGGGCTCCTGAGTCAAGCAAGCCTGGGTTCATGTCCTAGAGCCATTTCTTGCAAGCTGTGTTACTTCATGCCAGTTATTTTATGCTCTGTACTGGAGTTTCCTCATCTGTGGAATGGGGATAGAACAGTTCTTACCTTGTTGGCTGTTGCAGTGATACAATGAAATAACTCGCACGAAGCGCTTAGCACGGTGCCTGGCACTGGGTAAGTGCTCAGCAATAACTAGCCATTAGCATTTTGGCGGGGACCACCCTCTCCTTAAAGTTCCCCAGCCTCATGGGGCACCTGGCTGGCTCAGCTGGAAGAGCGTGCGACTCTTGATCTCGGGGTTGTAAGTTTGAGCCCCACGTTGGGTGTAGAGATTACCTAAAAATAAAACCTTAAAAAAAAAAAAAATTCCCCAGCCTCTTGCCCTCTGGGCCTCCTCCTCTTTCTATGACTGGTTCTTGCCCCCATTTCCTCCCCTCACCCCTTACTCACTAGATGATGGCTTTAACCGTCAACTCTTCTTCAGGCTGAGGTGATCTAACTTTCTCTCCTACTGCTCTCCTTCTGTGAGACCCCGGATACTCTTGTATGCTCCACAGTCCCTTAGGCTCATCCTTGAGGCCTGCTGTCACGGCTCCCACTCTTGCCCCAGCACCCGACAGTGGCTGGACCCTATAACCTTTTGCATGAGATTCTACCTTAAAAATAGCCATCAGAACTACTCTAGTGACTTCTACCTGCCAACACAGAAGATGTCCAGAAGAACATAGAGAAACATTTAAAATTTGTGCAGAGAGCAGAGGGGAACATCTGGAAAACCTCTAAGTGTCCAGATAAGGCTTCATGGCACCCCATAAGAGCTATTTCTGTTTGCCTCCCTCCCTGGGCTGTGAGCTTCTCAGGGCAGAGAAAAGGATTACTCACTTATCGGTCACCTGGTGCCTGATGTATGGTTAGTACTCAGAGAAATGTCCAATGAATGAAAAAGATTCCTGGCTTTGCCACTGGCTTTCCAAGTGACTTTGAATAAGGTCCTTTCCTTCTCTGGACCGCAGGGCCAAAATCTATAAAACAAGGATTGCGTCTCAAGGAAACCCTTTCAACGTTAGAGTGAACTTAGTGGCCAAGGATGCAGGAGGGATGGGCTAGCTGGGGTGGGGTCTCAAGGTCTCTAGCAATATTCTGTGCTCAGGGATGGGCTCAGAGAGAGGGGTTGCCCTGACCCCTCTTCTTGGGAGCTACTCGGTACTCTAGAGGAGGGGGTTTAGGTCAGCGAGGGATCATGGCCTATTAATCCTCCAAATCCTAGTGGCTCACTCTTGGGGCCCCTTGCTGGCTTACCAGCCTGGTATGGGAGACGAGTTTCTGGGGGAAACTCGGGTACCCTGTCCTCCCTGCCACGCCCGCCCACGAACAGGCTGTTCTTGTTTACGACCCTCCTCCAGGAGAACAGCGATTGCTCATCCCTCCATGTGATTTGAGAGGGCCTGTCTTTCGGGCCTGGAGGAAACTCAAGCCCCAGCCAGCCACTTGGCATCGGAATGTTCAGCTGGTCCCCTCCTGGGGCTCATGTGACCGGGACCCAGCTATAAATATCAGAGGGGCCTCAGACCAAGACAGAATTCGGGCACCAGGAGAAGACAAAGGGGCTCTGGGTGGCATTTTGTGACAAAGGCAAGAACCCAGGTCTACGTAGAGCGAGGCAGGTGAAGGAGGCAGCCAGGTGAACCCCCACACCTCCTGGCAATATGGATTATAAATCAAGCCTGATCCAGGATGGGAATCCCATGGAGAACCTGGAGAAGCAGCTCATCTGTCCCATCTGCCTGGAGATGTTTACCAAGCCGGTGGTCATCTTGCCTTGTCAGCACAACCTCTGCCGGAAATGTGCCAATGACATCTTCCAGGTCAGTGCTGGGCAGCGCCGGGTCCTGGGCCCCAGGTGGCTGCTCAGTATTCCTGGGGTGAAAGCCATTGTCTCTTAGTCCGGGACTTCTAAACCAGGGCTGGCTTTCTCCCGTCCAGAGCGAAGCCCCTGCAGAGGCCTCTGGGCTGAAGGGGGCTCAGGGGCGGCGGCTCTGGCTGCCCCATTCCTCCTCCAGGACGCCTGTTTCCCATTCCCACCCTGCCCATAGCTCCCCCACCGCTGCCCTGAGCCCGCAGTCGACTCTCCAGTCAGGAGTCAAATGCCTCAAGCGATAAGTGGGAGAGGCAGGCAGAGAGGAGAGAGAAACCAGACCCCTGGGGCTGGAGCCAGCTCCCTGGTGGCAGGCGGCCCAGAGCTTTAGGAGGAGGAGGGTGGCCAGGAAGCACTGGGCAGTAGAGGCATCTTCCCTCTTCGAGGCTGGTTCCCTATAATATGGGGCTGGAGGGGATCCATCTCCTTAACAAAGGAATGGGAGGAGTGGCCTGGCAGGGAGGCAGGACTCAAGGTTCCCAGAAGCACTTTACAAAATGTTGTCTCACAATTTTATCTTTGAATTAGCAGCCTATGAGCTGGGTCTCATGATAATGCCTGTTGAGTGAATGGGTTGGAGGCTTGGGGCAACAAGGTCATTCAGAGGATAACCGTGACTTGAACCTGTGTCTGACTCCCAGACTTGCTTAGGTGTTTCTCAGGTGCTCCCCGTTGTAAGTGGGCTGGCTCCCATCTCAGGATGGGGAGCTCCAGGTCAAATGGTTTGACATGAATGGTTGGGGGAAGCAGGAAGAAGGACAATTGGAGATTGTCCCAGGCCTCACCTCTGCCCTTGCCACCTGCAGGCCGCAAATCCTTTCTGGACCAACCGGGTTGGCTCCGTGTCCATGTCTGGAGGCCGTTTCCGCTGCCCCTCCTGCCGTCACGAGGTGATCATGGATCGTCATGGAGTGTACGGCCTGCAGAGGAATCTGCTGGTGGAGAACATCATTGATATCTACAAGCAGGAGTGCTCCAGGTTAGTCCGCCCGGCTGCCGGGAGCCCATCCTTCCTCCCCAGCCGGTCTGGGCCCAGCTCTCCCAGGCTTCTTCCCATCTGCCAGGGATCCAGTGCCCTGGCTGCAAGAGCTACACTCCCCAGTCCAGACAGCCATCTCTCTCTTCCTTGGGCAGAGCAGAGCCTCATCTCTATCCCCCAGCACGGGCTCTCGGTGTCACTCAGTGAACGGGAAGAGCCCACACATTAGGCTGCCCTCCTAGGAGAGACTGAGACAGGAACCAGGGAAAGGGAGAGATGTGACAGGGAGAGGGACGCACTGGGGCCAGCTAAGTGGCCACGACAAGCAGAGAAAAGCGCCCAGAGAGAACACAGCAGGGTCTCTCTATAGTGAAGGTAACAGCTGTCATCACAGGCCCTGGGGAAGCTTCCTCCTGGGGATCCACAGCAATCCTGTGGACCAGGCACGACTTTCATCATCCCCGTTTCACGGTCGAGGAAGCTGAGGCTCAAAGAGGTGACGTCAATTGCCCAAGCTTTCCCAGCCGGGAAGAGAAATGGCAGAGAACAGCCTCATAGATCTGGCCCCAAGCCTCCCTGTTTGTGAAATAGCAGCTCAGTCCTGGGTAGAATTTGTGGGAACGGAGTTTGTGCAGTGTGGCCTCAACCCGGGGAGAGACACGGCCACCAGGGGGCTCTTTACTAATCCGGACAAGACTTCCAGGCTCCTGCCCTCAGGCCCTTTGGTCCGAAACCGTCACCCAGTGCTGCCTGCAGGCAGTGTCCTGCCCAAGCACAAGGGACAGACCAGTCTTAGGGAGAAAAAGCCCTCACCGGGCGAACCGTTGGCGAGTCCGACTGTCACTAAGGCACTGTGGGAACTTGGGTGAGTCTTTGGGACTTCATTTTCCCTGTCTGCAGAAGAGGATGGTAAGGTTTGTTATTGTGACTCTCAATTAGGGTTTCGATGGGAAATGTTAAACGTATCAAATATTTATGGAGCACCTCCTGTGTCTCAGCGCCGTACTAAGCATTTTCTGTGCATGACCCCTGTTTAATTCTCACAGTAATCTATTTGGCATTCTTACCCTCATTTTCCAGGGAGGAAATGGAGGCTCAGAGAGGGTCAGAGGTTTGCCCAGGGCTACTCAGCAAGCAGTGAAGCTGGGAGGGAGCCTGTCTAACTACTCCATGGTGAACGTTCCGAACTGGTATTGCCTCTGTGTTGCTGGAGTTCAACACTACAAAAGTGCAGATAGAGTGCTGATCATTCTTTTTTTTTTTTTTTTTAAGATTTTATTTATTTATTTGACAGAGAGAGACACAGCGAGAGAGGGAACACAAGCAGGGGGAGTGGGAGAGAGAGAAGCAGGCTTCCCACAGAGCAGGGAGCCCGATGTGGGGCTCGATCCCGGGACCCTGGGATCATGACCTGAGCCAAAGGCAGACGCCCAACGACTGAGCCACCCAAGCGCCCCTGATCATTCTCATAATAATAATATCAATATGGCCCCTAAGTATGGCAGCCCCCGCCCCGAAGGGTCGACCTATGAAGAGCATGTTATGTCTGAACCCTTCGGGGCTTTCCTCATAGTCGAATGGCAGGGAGAGCTGCCCTTTTTGGAGGGTCTCCTCTGTGCTAAGCTCTACACACATCCCAGTAGCTCTGGGATAAAACCAAGGCTCAGAGAGGTGAAATCACTCGCCCAAGGTCACAAAATGAGTGAGTGGCAGAACAGTCTGGTTTTGAACCCAGGTGCTGATGCCTGGGCTTGGGAGAATGGGCATCAGGGATGGCAGTGAGCACGGGCACCAGACCCTCAGGATCTTACCTCACCTCTGCAGCTACTGCCATTCCGGACCTCCCCTCCCCAGGCAGGGGTAGAGCCAGGTGGCAAAGGGAGACCCCTTGCCAGCAGGAGGGGCCCTGGGCTCAAAGATGAAAGATAAGTCTGGAAAGGGACTTATTTAAGAACCTGGAGAGGTAATAATGCCTGGGGTGTGACCAGTTGTGCAAGGCTGTTCAGAGGTGAGGCGTTGACATGGACGGGGGACAGTCACCATCTGACATTTGTGAGATGCTTGCTGGGTTAGGGGCTGGGAAAGCAGCAGCGGTGTAGACATGGGGTTGGCTCTAAATGAGGGTATAGTCTAGCTGGGGAGGGAGGACTTAGCCCCCAAAAACTGAGCCTCACATGGGAAATAACTGATGCCCTGAGAGAAACACAACATACCAGAGTCCCTAAGTAGAGAATGCGACCAAGGGAGAAAAACATTCTAAGAATGTGTGTTTAGGAAGGGAAAAATACCTTCTCGACTTTTAAGTCAAGGCTTAGGCTGAGCTGTTAGCCATCCCTGGGCTGCCCGGGTTCTGGTCGTGTGACTTGGGGCCCACACACTTCTTCCTTCTCGGAGCCTGGGGCCGCCCTCATGGCGTGCTTACTGATGTATTCTCTCCACCTGCACTGATTCACCACCTCCTCCCTGCCACACATACACCGCAGAGATGAGAAGAACCGGCAAGTTTCCCTGCTTCGATGGCGGTTACAGTCTGGTGGATTAAATATAGAAATCAGTGAGGCCATGAGTATAAATTACTTTGCTCAGAGTCCGGCCTGCAGTAACCAAGCGCTACAGGGACTATAATTAGAGCAAGTGCGCTCTTGCCCCCCCTGCCCTGACTTAATGGGTGACCTTGGGCAAGTCAATTCACCTTTCTGGGGTGCAGTTTCCTCTTCTCAAAAACGTCTCCCATCCCAACCCTGGGATTCTATAAGCTTTCCCATGTTCGGCTCTGGTGGGGCCGAAGGCCAACTCTGTCACTGGCCTCGGAGTCCGAGGATTTGAGGACAGTCTTGGTGTCGCTGGCTTTCCTGCTTCTGGGTCTCCAGAAAATGAAAAGGACTGGGGCAGCCAGGCACTGAGGGCTCAGGCTCTAGATCCGGGGTGGCCCCCTGGAGCTGGAGGGGAGACAGGGACTCTGGACACTGCCCCCCCCCCGCCCCGGTCTGATTTGCGATTCTTCTCCACTGCAGTCGGCCCCTGCAGAAGGGCAGCCACCCCATGTGCAAGGAGCACGAAGACGAGAAAATCAACATCTACTGCCTCACGTGTGAGATGCCCACGTGCTCCATGTGCAAAGTGTTTGGGGCTCACCAGGCCTGTGAGGTGGCCCCACTGCAGAGCGTCTTCCAGGGACAGAAGGTACTGGCCAGTGCCGCCTCTACCCCCAGCCTGGGCCTGTGGGGCACAGCCAGATGATTCAGGATGTGGATTTGATCCCTGTCCCTCTGCTGAGCTGGCCTTTCAGGAATAGTCCCTCTGGAGGGACTTCCCAGGCCACAGGGGGAGGTGGCTGAGCTCATGGGTTATACTTAAACCACTTGAGAGCACCTGGGTGTGGCCACAGGGGAGAGAACAGACCCCTGGGTCAGGCCACCAGGGTCCTCTCAGGCCACGACTTCTAAATCCCAGGGTGCCTCGGGCCCCAGATACCTCTTCCTGTGCTGATTACCTCTCCTGCGGCAGAAAGTGGCCGAGAAACTTCCCCCAGGACCCCCAGGCCTGTGGGAGTCCCATCATTCTGCCCATGCAGTAAGCAGTGGCCCCTCTTTCCGTACATTTTTCCCTGCCTTCCACTCTTCTCTTGATCTCTCTCTTCTAGAACTCTCCAACTCTATTTCTTTTCTGCATCCCTTCTTTCCTAGAAACAAACTCCTCCTCTGACAGTACGTTGCTGTTGTATTTTGCTCATGTCCGCTTTTCTGGGCCTCATTTGCAATATCAGGGATGTAGTATCTCCCTGATGTTCTCTGCTCTGGACCTGAGCAGCACCTCAGAAAGAGGCTCTTTCTAGCAGAGAGGGGAAGGAGGGTGCCACTCCCGAGAAGACAGGCCCTGAGACTATTTCTGTTTCTCCTCTCTTGATCCGCGCCCCCCATGCCCCGCCCCACCATCTAGACTGAGCTAAGTAACTGTATCTCCATGCTGGTGGCGGGGAACGACCGTGTGCAGACCATCATCACTCAGCTGGAGGACTCCTGTCGAGTGACCAAGGTGAGGGGGAAAAGAGCTCTGTCTGGGGTCCGAAGCCTCTCGGTGCAGCCTGGTCTCTGGAGTGAAGGCTCACCTGGGGGTGGTAGCTACTGGTTGGGGCCTGGAGGCTGGGGTGTTCAAGAGGGGATGGTGGAGTGCGGACCAACTAATCCATTCATCCACTCATTTACCAAATGCTTCTGGAACACAGCTGTGTGTCAAGCCCCGTCAAAGGCTCTGGGGATGGAGTGGTGACCAAGACAGACCTGATTCCTGACTTCAGGGAGCATCCCAGCAATAATTCTCAGTATTTCTTCAGCACTGGTAGATTTCAGAGCATTGTCTTCAGTGTGTGGTAGACTAAAGCTTTTCAAACTTTAAAATGCATTCAGATTACCCTGGAATCCTGTTAAAATTCAAGTTCTGATTCAGTAGGTCTGGAGGGAGGCATGAGGTTCTGCATTTCTTTCTAACAAACTCCCGGGATTTGCCCAGCTTGCTGGTCCAGGGACCACACTGTGAGTAGAAAGACTGCGGAGGCAGAAGGAAACTTTTCTATCTCTGCAAAAGCATCCATGATTTTCCATCTCCACTTGGGGTGGGGCCTGGAGATGAGATTGGGGGGAAAGGATCATCATACTCCCGGTGGATGAAGACTTGTGTGAAGGATGGTTTCAAAGGAAGGAGGGATGCATAGTTACTACTCATGAGATGCTTCCAGTCTGATGAGATACTATTATTATGCCTATTCTACACGTAAGGAAACTAAGATGCAGTGTCTGTGTTGGAGAGAAGGGAGCCTCAACGAGGAAGAGCTGTTTCTCCACCCCTGCTAGGACCAACTGAGGCAGAGCTTCCTGAATCCAGTCTTGATCCTAAAATGGGGGCCGGGGGGAGGGACAGAGTGACTTGGGAGCACACAGGGGGCCCAGAATCAATCACCCCATCTGACCCTGGAGTCTCTAATTTTGAGGAGGGGGCTAGCTTTCTCCATGACACCAGCCTCCAAACGTTACTGGTCTGCTAAGGAGCTATGAGACCTCAGCAAGTGCTATCTTTTTCTAAGCCTTTATCTCGCCTTCTGTAAAATGGAGGTGTAGCAAGGTATCTTCCAGCTTCAGACCTGTGACTCCTAGCACACCCAGGGATAGGGAGGAGGACCCCACAGGTGTGACTCTGAGATTTCTGTCCCCAGGAGAACAGTCACCAGGTGAAGGAAGAGCTGAGCCAGAAGTTTGATGTACTGTATGCCATTTTGGATGAGAAGAAGAGTGAGCTGCTGCAGCGGATCACGCGAGAGCAGGAGGAGAAGCTCAGCTTCATCGAGGCCCTCATCCAGCAGTACCAGGAACAGCTGGACAAGTCCACTAAGCTGGTGGAGACGGCCATCCAGTCCCTGGACGAGCCTGGCGGGGCCATCTTCCTCATGGTGAGCAGGATGAGGAGGCTGTGGGCAGTCACTTCAACTCACCGGCTCTGACTAAAGTGCAAGTCATGCTCCATCAAGCCATTAAAACTCTAAGCCTCAGTGTCCTCATCTATAAAATGGGCATGCAATGATTCCTCCCTTCTTTCCTCTTAACTGATTTTGTGAGGATCACATAAGAGATGTTTGTGAAATGGCATTGTAAGGTGCAAAATGCAGTGTCCACATAGAGACTATTCATTGAGCACATTCTATCGGTCAGCCACAGAGGCAGAGGTGACAGAGATGAATGGGACACAGCCCTGCCCTAGAAAAGCTTGCTGGGTGGCGGGGGGGGGGTACATAAGAGGATCAGTGATAAGATTTCACAGCTCAATAAAAATTTCCTAAGCATATACTGTGGACCAGGCTTTGGGCTAGACACTGGGTATAAAAAGGTGATTAGGGTACGATTCTCATCTTGGAGATTGGGGGGTTTAAGAGTGTTTAGAATGATACCCGGAAAATCCAAGCATCCTGCCATGACAATGGAAGGGTCCTAGAGTGATGCCCAAAACCCGTGCAGTCCATGAACAGAAGGAAAAGACCCAAGTGCTGTTCAACTCAGGGCAGGGAGCAGGTCCCAACGAGGCTAGGGAATGGCACCAAGGGCCCATCTGTGGCACCATCACTGGTTTTGCTGATTTCTTGGGGCCACTTCTTCTGTACTCCTAACCCTTTGCTCTCTCTTTCTCCCCACAGAGTGCTAAGCAACTCATCAAAAGGTCAGTGTCTCTCCAGGACTATGATCCAAGGCCCCAGCTCCCACCAGGGCCTCTGATCTCTGTCCAGTAGGCCTCCCCCTTTGCATTAGGTTGGCTGGGAGGGTCTTGGCCCAGGCTAGCTTTCCTGGCCTTTGCATCCCCTGCCTTCTTGCCCCCCCGCATTCTGCTTGTGACTGGAGAGGCAATACCCCACCCTCCAGGGGGAGCATCTAGGTGCAAGGCAAGGGTGCGGGCACACATACGTGCACTGATATGAATTGGAGCTAAGACACCCCTTCTTTCACTGAGGCCCAGAAATCTCATCCTGCCCCCCTCTTTCTCTCTTCCTCCCCCACAGCATTGTGGAAGCTTCCAAGGGTTGCCAGCTGGGGAAGACAGAACAGGGCTTTGAAAATATGGACTACTTCACTTTGGACTTAGAGCACATAGCAGACGCCCTGAAGGCCATCGACTTTGGGACAGGTAAAGGAGGTGGTGGTGGTGGCATACGTCTGTTTCCCTCCTTCACCCCTGGCAATCTGCTTCCCTGCCGCTGAGCCCCACCTGGAGGCAGGTACAATAGCAAACAGCCAAACTCATATGGCCACCTTCAGCATGAGCCCAGAGCCCGCACAGTACCTGGCACATAATTTTGCTCAGTAAATTATGTACGGATCCACTGCAGGGAGGCATGGGGCAACAGAGCATATGGCGACTGGAGTCAGGCAGATTGAGTTCAAATATTGGCTCTACCACTTGTTATCTGTGTGACCTTTGGTGAGCCCCTCTCCCTCTCTGAGCTGCATTTTCTTTTTCTTTTGTAATTTTTATTTAAGTAATCTCTACACCCAACATGGGGCTCGAACTCATGACCCTGAGATCGAGAGTTGCATGTTCCTCCGCCTGAGTCAGCCAGGTGCCCCTGAACTGCATTTTCTACCTTTAAAAATTAGAGGTGGTCCTATTAATAATGACCACATCATGGTGCTCTGGCAAAAAGTGAGAGAGAGAGCGATGCAGAGGAGTTTGTCAGGTACTAGACAACAACTAGTTATTGCCTCAGGCTGGTCTTAGCTTCAGCTTCTTAATGTTGCCATCTCTGATACTCGGGCACCTTAATTTACCTGTATCATGTCCTCATTTCTGTTTGCAATTACTCTATCATGAGTACCTATAATAATTATAACAACACAACCATAACAATAATAAGGGAAAAGTAATAAGGGGAAATGAGGAAACCTTGCTCGTTATAGTCTGTCATTTAACTTTATGAGGTAGTTTCTGTCGTCGTCTCCATTTTGTAGTTAGGGAAGTAAAGCCAAGAGAGGGTCAGTAATTTGCTGGAGGCCACACAGCTAGTAAGTAGCCCACGCGGACTCCACCAAGGGCCATCCGGCTCCCAAGACCCTGAGGAGGATTCCATGAGACGATGCATGTAAGACGTTTGGTGCACGCACACACACACGCACACACACACGCACACGCAGGCACACACACACATGCACGCAGGCACACACACGCACGCACACACACACACGCACACACACAGACGCAGACACACACACAAAAGACGCTTGGCACAACACTTGGCACATAGTAAGTGCTCAGCACATGCTGCTAAGAGCAGTTAATAGTGATAATAATTAAACAACAACAACAAAAAACCCTGAGTTATGCACAGGTCCCAGCTGTGTAGCTGGAAATTGAGCTGACATTTTGGAGGCATGAACTCTTTCAAACCTCTCCCTACACACTCTTGACAAATGCCCTGGCTCTCTGGTGACCCCCTCAGGGGCCCAAAGCATTAAGGAAGAGGCTTGGGAGAGGGTGGGGGGTAGAGAACAGACAAGGTCCCTGTTAGTGGAGCTTGAAGGTGATGTCCCAGGATAGGAAGGTGAGGACACAGGTCGCCGTCTGTCTGGGGCTCAGCTTCAGAGAGCTATCAAGGAGATGGCCCCAGGAGTGGCCCCCACCCCACAGCCACCCCTTTGTAGGCTGTGGAATGAGGAAAACTGGACAAGGAGTGCTAGGCAAGCAGATTTCAAAGGCTGAGCAAATTCCTTCAAGACAAGGACTCTGATCCCTGAGAACCAGGGAGTCCATTCTTCCCAGGTGATGTGTCTCTGTCTAACTGGGGAACGTGCAGAAGCACCAAGTGTGCTTCCCTCAAAGTCCCCTCTGGTCACTGGCAAGTCAAGTGATAGGAGCTGCTGTTGCTACTAGAACAAACGGGTGTGTTGAACCTCCCTCCTTTGGAGGGGTGTGGGAAGGGAGGAGGAGGCCAGTGGGAGGAGGGAGAGGGCCTCTGTGCAGCTTAGGTACGGCAAGCTCGTCACCTCCGGGGCCACAGATGTCACCGCATGGCCATGTGGTCCCAACTGGGTGTGGGAAGGGTTTTGGATAAATGCTGTCTCCAGCCTGGTGCCCCTTGGAGCAGCTCCTCTGAGGAACTGGCCCCATCCTAACACAGTTGTTCTTTGTCACACAGATGAGGAAGAGGAAGAGTTCATTGAAGAAGAAGAAGATCAGGAAGAGTCCACAGAGAGAAAGGAAGAAGGTAAGAAATTCATCTACCTTCATTTGTTCGTTCGTTCGTTCGTTCAGTCATTCAACAACATGAAATCCTGACTGTGTGCAAAGTCCTGTGCTGGACTGTGAGGATGATCCCGATCTGTGGTGATGGTCCTAATATATGTTTTATACCTTTTGGGGGTAAAGTCCTGTTCCCTTTATCCTTAGAGAAAACAAAACAAAACAAAACCCAAACTATTTATAATAAAAAGCTCTCATTTTATATCTAAATGACCTTCCTGAGTGGAAGGCAAAATACAGTATAACAGACATAAAAGACAAGGGACTTAGAAGCCAGGCTTGGCCCACTGAGAACTTTTGTTTGGCCAACACAACGTTTAAAATTTTTGAAATTAGGGCGCCTGGGTGGCTCAGATGGTTAAGCGTCTGCCTTCAGCTCAGGTCATGATCCCAGCGTCCTGGGATCAAGTCCCGCATCAGGCTCCCTGCTCCTTGGGAGCTTGCTTCTCCCTCTGCCTCTCTGTCTCTCTGTCTCTCATGAATAAATAAATAAAATCTTTAAAAAAAAATTTTTTTTTGAAATTAGTTGCCAACATTTTAAAAATTAGGAGATGGGGGCGGGCAGGTTTTTTGTTTTTTTAAGAGAGAAAAAGAGAGAGAGAGAGAATCCCAAGCAGGCTCCAGGCCCCGTCTCACAACCCTGAGATCACGACCTGAGCCAAAATCAAGAGTTGGAGGCTTAACTGGCTGCACCACCCAGGCACCCCTGTTGTTTTTTTTTTTAAAGGAAATTTCAACTAAGAATCTGGATTTCCACCTTCTTGTGAAAATTTGGGAAGAACTAACAATGCTCGCCCCCCTCCCTAATCCCAGAGAGCTGGCTCCGGGCAAGGGCCGCCCCCTTTGCCAGTTTGCTCCGCCCACCGCTGTTAGCCTGCAGGCTTTACTCCGTCACGGCCTCCGCGGGCCCCTGGGGGCATCTGATCACCCACGTGCCCTCGGGCAAGTCATTTAGAAAACTCTCTCAGCTGCAGAGCGTGGTTAAGAGCCTGGGTTCTGAATCGCAGCTTTCCCACAGACGAATGGTATAATCTTGGGCTGTTCACAACTTTTCTGAGTCTGGGGCTGCTCATCTGTACACGGGGGCATGATATTACTGACCTCAAAGGATTCTAGGGAAGAGTAAATGAGATCATCATTTAGCACAGCGGCGCATAGAAAGGACTGTTTGCTAATTAGCACGTTTGCTAATATCATTTTTCAAGCCAAGTTACTACTGGAACTAAATTCCAATCCAGTTGAAAAATACAGGATACTCTTTTGGAGTTTTGTATTGGATGTGCAATCCATGGTGTTTTGACAACTAAATTCTATTTTGTTTTAAAAAGGCAGAGGCCAGGCAGGAACTGGAGTCTGATAATTTTGTCACTGGGGCTTGGTAAGCCCTGGATTCCACTCCCCGCCCCCCCCCGCCCCCCGCCCAGGGCCCTGTCTCACCTTGTGTTTCTTTGTCTTTTTCTTGCAGGACACCAGTAAGGAGCTGGATGAGGGAGAGACCTTCTGGATGCAAAGAGACTGGGGAGGGTGGGGATGGGCCCAGCTGACTTGATGACAGGCCCAGGGTGGGAGGGGTCGGGGCCCCTGGAGGGGCAATGGGAAGGCGTGTCTTCTCTCTGCTGGGAGAGAGCAGGTACTAGTAGTAGGACCCCCACTGCTGTGTCCAGCAGCCACTGAACCAGAATTGGAAACATGCTTGAAACAACCACACAGGACACTTTTCTACGTTGGTGCAAAATGGAATATTTTGTACATTTTTTAAATGTGATTTTTTTTTTGTATATACTTGTATATGTATGCCAATTGGTGCTTTTTGTAAAGGAACTTTTGTATGATAATGCCTGGTCATTGTGTGACCGGCTGGTGTTAGAAAGAGGGGAGGGAAGCCAGGCTGACAAAGCTGCCCTCTTCCTTTCCCGGGAGGGAGAGCTGGGTAGCACTGACAGGCCTAGAAAGTGCTGTACCGGTGTCAATGCCCTTCCCTGACATTGTGGATGGCAACTGAGTTTGTGTTACATGTTGTTTCAATAAATGCACAGTGCTCTCTTTCTGTTATTACCAAAAGAGCTGGGGGTTTCATTCAGCCTGTTGTTCTGGAGAGAAGAGCTCAGAGAGGGGGTGGGGGGGGCGTTAGGTGGGGGACAGAGGGCCTGACCGGATGTGTGCTGCAGGCTCAGTCGGTTTCCATCCCATCAAAGAAGAAATTCTTTAAACTAGCATTTCCCAATGGGAGCGCCATGGAAAACTGGCCCTGAGAGGGGGTCCTCAAGAAGCTGGTTCAATGCCTTGTTCTCTGGTTCTCCAGAACACCGAGACTGAAGCAAAGCCTCAATGCTGAAGCCTGGGTGCGACCCCAGGGGGCAGCCAGAGTGAAGGGAAGTGGCAGCGGGATAGGAAAGGAGTGAAACACATGCGATGTGGGACATTACTGAGCTGGCCACAGCTTCACCAAGAGCCCCCCCCCCCCCCCCGCGGTTCGCTCAGTCCCGTGAGATGTTTCTAGCAGGTCATAAAGAACACAGCACAGCTCAAAGCAGTACATCAGAGGGAAGGGGGAGGGAATTTCGTCTCTGTCTCAGGATGGAAGTCGGCCTCCCAGAGTGTTAATTCCCTTGCACCTGCCAGGTGGCATCACCTAACCCCTTGGGGCAGCTGAAGGGGGAAGGGGGAGGCTCGAAGGCCCACCTGACTGCAGGTGGTGGAGGGAGCAGAGCCTCCGGGGCCCAGTTAGGTTGGAGCTGTTGCTGCTACCACCACAGGGGGCGCAACAGCGGCTCGGCGGGAGCCCAGACTTAATGCAGGGAACGCCAGCCAGCCACCAGAGCTAGGGGATGGATGAGGCCACGACCAAGGCCGAAGTAGCATCCAGGGTCTCTGTGAACAAGGAGCCAAGGGGCCAGCAGAGAGGTGAGGCTGAGAGGATCCGAGGAGACACATTACTGGGTCTGAGTCACTGCAACTTACACATTTGAGGAACACTGCAGAGTCTGCCCCATTTTTTCAACATTCAGCAAGGTAAGGGCTCTGAGCAGTCCTGCCATAAAGAAAACTGTTTAACCTTAGACAATGATCGGAACATCTAGTTCATGGTGTTTGAAATGCTGCCTCTTGATATTTCCTGGTGGACTGAGTATTTAACCCAGCATTCCCCAGCTTATTCGTTCATGTGACATTGTCCAGAACTAGTGTCCTGTGGAGCTCCCTGTATGAAAGTGCTTTAAACCCATCACGCCTCTGGGGCGCCTGGGTGGCTCAGCTGGTTGAGCGTCTGCCTTTGGCTCAGGTCATGATCCCGGGGTCCTGGGATCGAGCCCCACATCGGGCTCCCTGCTCCGCGGGAAGCCTGCTTCTCCCTCTCCCACTCCCCCTGCTTGTGTTCCGTCTCTCTCTGTCAAATAAATAAATAAAATCTTTAAAAAATAAAAAAAATAAAATAAACCCATCATGCCTCTGCCCATTTTCACTTCTGGGAGTTTTTCCAAGGCTAACTCAGTCCCTAACTTTGAATTTTCAAAATTTTCTCTCATTTCCAGTCCTTTCTCAAGTTATTATTATTATTTTTTAATCAATTGTGGTGTCTAAATGGGGTGTCTCTCCTGAGAGGATGAGGACCCCCAAATGTGGGGTCACTGACAGGGTGGAAGTTGGTGGTGCAGGTGGTGACAAGAATTCACCTGAGGCGGGACGCCTGGCTGGCTCAGTTTATAGAACATGTGACTCTTCTTCTTCTAATTTTTTTTAAAGATTTTATTTATTTGAGAGAGAAGGAGAGAGAGCACGAGCAGGGGGCAGCAACAAGAGGGAGAGGGAGAAGCCGACTCCCCACTGAGCAGGGAGCCCAACATGGTCTGGATCCCAGGTCCCCAAGATCATGACCTGAGCTGAAGGCAGACTCTTTTTTTTTTTTTTTTTAAGATTTTATTTACTTATTTGACAGAGAGGGACACAGCAAGAGAGGGAACACCAGCAGGGGGAGTAGGAGAGGGAGAAGCAGGCTTTCCGCGGAGCAGGGAGCCCGATGCGGGGTTCCATCCCAGGACCCTGGGATCATGACCTGAGCTGAATGCAGACGCTTGACGACTGAGCCACCCAGGCACCCCTGAAGGCAGACTTCTAACCGACTAAACCACCCAGGCACCCTGAGCATGCAACTCTTGATCTCAGGGCTGTGAGTTCAAGCCCCACGTTGGGCATGTAGCTTACTTAAAAAAAAAAAAAAAAAAATTCACCTGTGGCAGAACAAAGGAGATAGAAGTTTACTGATTACTGAATACAAGGGAGCAGAGGTGAGGCTGTCTGCAAGGGGGCAGTGGGTGGTAGCTGTTTATAAAGGGGGAGATGAGGAGGTGTGGTGATGTACGGACTCTTCCCCCTTTTCGGTAGCTGTGTCTCGTTGTAAGTAGCGCATTGGCTAGTTCGGGCCTATGGGTGTTTTGAGGTGGGTCGCCTGATGGGCCTGTCTGTATTCAGCCAGGTGGTTGCTGTGAGCCCTTTCGACATTCCATCGCTCAAGCCTGTTTGCCTAAAAGCGGCCTCTACCCCCACCCCCCACCCCGACAGGTGGACAATGACAAATCTTTGGCATTTGGGCGGAGGTCTCATCTTCAGTAGCTTCTTCCTGCTGAATGAGGGGCATAGAGATGTCCTTACCTAAACTTGTCAGTCCATCAGGGGGTCTGTGCAGTTATATACCAGAGCATGGTATTATCTTAATGTGCGGATAGGCGATTTGAGTGAAATTCCTTTGCGGCCAGGTCCATGAGATTTGGGGAGGGGACCCTCCTATGGTAGGGGTTGGAATCCCTGTTGAGCCACCAACGGGGGAATTGTTGGATTCTAGAAGAGACAAATTTAACAAAGAGATTAAAGAGAGGGGGACCAATAATTAGGAGTAGGGGTATTGAGGCCAGGGGTCCTAAGAAAGGAAGGAGTTAGAGTAGTCATGAGGAGGTTTCTTTCCAGGAAAACCATCCTTGCGTTGCATGGCCCCAGAAGGAGGAAACCAAAAGAAGGTTATGATGAGAAAGACAAAGCTTAGCCCCAAAAGGGGTGAGGACTGTATTGTGAGAGCAGAACACCAAGGGAGGGGACAGCTCCAGGTAAGTTATGATTTCTGACCAAGGAAATTTGGAGAGGTCACCCTGAGGGAAAAGGTCAAGAATAAAGTCTTGGAATTGGAAAGGAGAAATGGTGAGAGTTTCAGGAGGAAATTATTTAGGGAGTTTTCTAAGACAATATCATAGAATGATTGAATGGAAGACAGTAGGGATTAGCAATGGGCCAGATTCATGGGTCTCTAAGCCTCTAGGTGTGTCATTTGAATAACAGGTATAGATCTCCAACAGTGTACTTAGAGGAGGGCTCCTTATCCAGGGCTGGAGCAGTCTTGATTCTGGAAAGATGGATCCACGGGGAGAAGCCGTGACGTTTTTCCGCTATTAGAGCGATCAAGTGAACTTGATGGGGCCAGGCCCAGACAGGTTCAAGTGGCTTTTTGTCCTGCAAAGAGTGTTAAGGTATGTATACTGAATCCCTGGAAGTAAGTTTTGGATGTATGTTACCTGAGAAAGAGGGGTCAGGTTTTGGATTGTACTGATTTTGACGGTCATTAATGGCGGAGACAGTTTGCCCTAGGGATATAACATACTGTGTAATTAGAATAACAAAAAGAAAAAGAAGCCCAACTAAGAGTCCTTTGATAGTTGACAAAAATCTTCCTCAAGTCCAGTAGTTTAACCAATCATTAAAGAAGAGAGAGATCTTTTAAAGCACCAATTTGAGTATTTTTTAAAAAAGATTTTTATTTATTTGACGGAGAGAGACACAGCAAGAGAGGAAACACAAGCAGGGGGAGTGGGAGGGAGAGGCAGGCTTCCCGCTGAGCAGGGAGCCCGATGCGGGGCTCGATCCCAGGACCCTGGGATCATGACCTGAGCCGAAGGCAGACGCTTAACGTCTGAGCCACCCAGGCGCCCCCCATTTTGAGTATTTATGTCAGTTAGTAACCCTGTCACATTTTGTCATTTGGAGTATATACATAACACTCTGTTTTAGTAAAGTATGTTCCTCCTTGAGCTGCAGTCAGGATATCAAGGGCCGTTAAGTTTTGGAGGGCTACCTTTTGAATTTGTGGGTGACTATAAGTTGGATTTGGTTAAAGGTGGCTGTTGTATGCTTGGCTAAAGCCTCCATTTACAATTTTATATCGTTAGAGGTAGTTCCTGGGACAAATATGGCTAAGGGATAAAACCATCAGGAAGCCCTCTTTATTTGAGGTCTAGCCTTAACAATGTCCTAATTATGAGGAATCACTGTCAAATGGTAGAGCATTTGTCCAGGGTATGGGCATCCAGAAGTGTATCATCCAGTCCAATCATAAGGAAAGTGGGGCCATCTATTTTCTCTACAAGTCCATAGTTAACCACATGGAGTGGGGTACACTCTGGCTTTTAGGGAGCCATTTTGTCATCCCAGCCACACAGAATCGGTCAAGGTGCTAGTTGAGTTATACAATTGTTGGGGAATCCATTCCATTTTCCAGTTGTTCAAATAATCATATGTCCATAGGGTCCTATTATTATCCCCACAGGATAACAAGCACAAAGATTGTCTATACATGAGCTGTTGTGGCAATTTCTCTGAAGTTTACCTCAAGTTGTCTAGCTCAGGCAAACAACAAACATTCAGAGACAAGCAGAACTAGGATTTAACATCCACAAAGGTGTGTTATGGAATCATAATTTTTCTCTCTGAAATCACCCTTATTTCCAGAGATAAGCAAATCAAGAATAACTCATTTGGACGAACCATGAAAGACGATGGACTCTGAAAAACAAACTGAGGGTTCTAGAGGGGAGGGGGGTGGGGGATGGGTTAGCCTGGTGATGGGTATTAAAGAGGGCACATTCTGCGTGTGTTATGCACGAACAATGAATCATGGAACACTACATCAAAAACTAATGATGTAATGTATGGTGATTAACATAACAATAAAAAATTTAAAAAAAAAGAATAACTCATTTGAAAAACAAGTCCAATTTTAACAAACTTGACCTAAT